TATATGCCCCGCTCGATGGACTCGACCTCAACCTCGACGTAGACCTTTGCCAAATATCAACAAAGTAAAAATAAAAAAATATTTTACCTGAAAAAGAAAAATATTTTTCAAAAAGAATATTTTACGTCTTATATATTATGTTTATGCATTATTTTGTGTTTTTAATGAATTTAAAATATGTTGGACTTTCTATTAGTTGAAGTTTATGCATATGTACATATACATATGGCCATGGGGAGAGCTGTATATTTCAGTAATAAAAAACTCAACCAATTAGGCCTAGTTTGGTGCAGTGGAATGGAATACAAAGAAAGTGGAATGGAATGGTTTTTATTTCATTCTTGTGTTTGGTGTCCAATTTTAAATTTGGAATCGTCATTCTCCACCATTCTTAGAGAATGGTCATTCCATCAAAATCATTCAACCTTTTCACAAAAGGAATGATCATTCCATTCCTACTTTAGAAAAATACAAACTAAAAAAATATTAAAATATAAAACCTAACAAATTACAAACCCACGCGTCATCACCTCCTCCGTCAAACCCACTGCCGATGTCATCACCTCCTCCATCAAACTCACCGCTTGATCTTGAACTTTAAAGTAATGGACCAAGACACAATAAAAAATCAAAAGTAGATCTGAAGCTTTTTTTTTTTTTTTTTTTGGTAAGTAAAAAAAAAAAAAAAAGTACATCTGAAGCTTTTTCGTGATTCTCTCATTGATTTTGTGAAAGAATTGCTGAAACCATTCTTTCCAAATCGGATCCGTCCTCACCCTTGTTCGATCGCACTGAAGTTTGTAAATCGGATCACCATTCTTTCCATTGCCTTTTCTCGCCCCAATATCCAACACCTCACTTGCCCAGTTTCTACTTTCTCTTTCTATCCATTGGATTGGGAAAAATTTGATGTTAATTTTTTAGTTAATTTTTTTAATTAATGATAAAGGTAATTTGGAGAAAACAATATAAATGATGATAAAGGTAAAATAATATAAATTCAATTCATTTCTTATTTTTAGTCCAACCAAACAAGTAAATGGAAATTATTATTTTATTTTTATACATTCCATTCCATGTTTGTAATCAAACAAGGGAATGGGAATCATCATTCCCACTCCAATTCATTCCCTTTTCCATTCCCATTCCATTCCAATTCATTCCACTACACCAAACTAGTGGAGAAGACGAGGGTATTTTGAAAATTTTAATTAAATCAATACATGCATCAGCAAAATCTATCATTGAAGGGAGGTCAGTAGGTTAGTTTCATTTTCATGGGAGGTCCTGCAATATCAGAAACCACAAGGAGGTTCCTGCAATTATGGAAAGAGTAATGATAGGCAATGGCGAAAGAGAAAATGCAAAAACTCTCCGAATCTAATTTGGCTAAGCCACTTTAGAATTAAAAAAAGAAAGAGAAAAAAAAAAAAAAAAAAAAAAAGGGAAAGAAGAAAAAAAAAAAAAGGAAAAAAAAAAAAAAAAAAACATGTTGTTTTCTCTTTCCCCTCACAAACAAAAAACTAAAATCTCTCCAGAATTGGATATATACAACAAGGACTTGGATCCTCTAAGTTAAAACTCTTCTAAGTTATCCTAAGTTGAATTTTCTACATAATGACACGTGTCTTTTAAGATATATCTATGGCTTATGTTAAATCACTTCAGTTAATTTAATAAAAGTTAGGAAACTGCACCGTTTTAAAGTAGAAAAGCTTTAAAATACCTTAACTATTTATACTTCAGTTTAGATCTAAATCTGTATAAAAATGCATCTAGTTATTATCAACCAAAGATTTAGTATTTCTAAATAATGAAGAACGTCTCTTTTCTGTTGATATCATGGCAAACTATGCTAAAACTTAAATTTTATAAATATATATATTTTTTTCCTAGGTAAATGTGAATTTTTTTTTATAAATTTTACAAAATTCATCTAATCAGAGATTGTATACTAATTGAAAATCTACTATTCAAGTTTCTTTAATCAAATCACCTTATTCGTCCAAGCCAATACTATTATTTCAAAAGAGAGAGAGAGAGAGAGAGAGCAATAATTTTTTTTTGGAGAAAAGAAGAGTGATCTTATAGAAGAGAGATGTTTCCGTCTTCGTAAAGTTTTTTACCTTAAAACGGTGTAGTTTTCTAAATTTTATTAAATTAGCTGATGTGGTTTAATATAAGTTGTAGATATATCTTAATAATACATGTCATTATGTAAAAAAATTAACTTAGGATAACTTAGAAGAATTTTAACTTAGAAGATCAAAGTCCATACAACAATTATCCTCAAGTGTCACCTTTTGTAAAATTACTCTTGGCCCCTATGTTTTCTCTAAAAGACGTATACATTTTGTAGAACTTTAACAAGATGAATAAATTATAGATTAAAAATTCCTTAAAAATTTTAAAACAATAAATATTTGATTTATACTGGGTATAGATAATACTATATTTTTATAGTTCTATGAATAAAATTACCCTCGAATTTAGCTTCCTTCGATTGAGGACTAAGTAAGTTCAATCAAAGAAATCTACTGTTTGTCTCGATCAAACATTGGGATACTATGTATACGTGTTATGTTTATTTTTGAGGCTATATGGATAATATTGTGTATAGGTGTTATACTTGCTTTTGAGGTTACGTGAATGATATTGTGAGCTTACTTTTGAAAGTATGATTATGTGAATATCAATGTTGTATTTGAGTTAAAAAAATGCTCTCACGATTATATAGAGCTAGTCTGATCAATTATTGTCTAAGTTGTTGTCATTGCATTAATGAGTATGCCTGTAGTTGCAACTTGGCTTATTGTTATTATTTTAAATTATCGATTTTGTTTCAAGTTGGCATCTATGTGTAGTTGCGACTTGAGTACTTGCTTTATTTCATTTGCTATGTGTATACCTACTAGAATGAAATGGGTGTTTACTCATGCATGAGAAGAAGATGGAATAGGTTTACAAGTGCTCCAGCTTCCAAGTGGGAGATTGTTGTAGTTTGTAGAGTTTGATCACGTGTTGATTATGTGAAGGATTTGCGAGGTTTCAAATTTGCTGATTTTGGTGTCTGGCTTTGGTTACTGGCATATTGGAACCTGTTCCGACGCATTTCGCGTGTGGCATTACAAATTTTTATTTTGGGCTACTAACAAAATGGAACAAGTTCCCTGTCTTGGAACAGGTTCCACTTTGGTAGTGAATTACATCACGTTAAGTGTGTGGAACTGTTCCACTCTCCTAGGAAGTTGCGAAAAATGCTTTTCTTATTAATTTTGGACTCTAAAAAAGGCAAGTCTTTGTGGGACAAATTTGCCTATATTGTTTGGGACTATATACATACAGCCCTAATCTGATTTTTAGGGTATGATCATTATTATTATTACATTAGAGGTGAGATTTGTGCCAACACAAAAGAAAACAATCAAGAGAGATTGAAAGAAAATTCTCCATTGTATTCATCTTTTTCATAGTGGAATTGTTCCGGTGCGCTCCATAAATATAGCCCTAATCTTTATGTGAACTATGTATATATTGTGTGTGGTTGTTTTTATTCTTTGTGATTGCTTGTGATTTCTTGATTGAACAACTTTTCCGCTAATAATATTTGTCCAAAATTTAATCATTATATTTCTCACTTTGATTATTTAACCCTATTAGAATGCTGGGGGCTAAATTGACAATCACATCAACAAGCACTTTACCAACTTCAATCCCCTCCCCCACTGTCAATCTAACGAATTGTTGAGGCAGTTGTCACCGGCAGTGCCCCCAACAATAACAAGCTCTCCAAGATGTATGCACCTCTCTCTCTCTCTATATGTACGTATGTATATATATTATGAATACAAGTTTGTATGTGTGTAAGATTAAATGCCGTATTTATATTGAATTTGATTTAGTACATGGAGGATGCAAAAGGTTCTCTCCAGTCTCTCTTCGAATTTGTGACTAACAAACTCTAAACCAGATGCTACTTTCTTTTCGTATATGCGAGTGATATTGTACTCTACTGTTCAACGCTTTTCTCAATGCCCTGCTAATTTGCTGCTAATATTAATTTGTGTATATGATTTTTTGTTGGTTTTTTTACGATGATTAAATTTTTGGGGTTATCATATTGAATCTGAATTGGTGTACTGTGGATAGGGTTTTGATGTTGGTATAGTCTATACAGATTTTGAATAGTTTGGGATTGAAAAGAATACGAGAGACTTTTGTTAGGCTCATTATAATTTATACAGGGTAGATTAATTTGGAGAAAGGAGAGGGTAAGGTGAAGTGAAGACACTTTGAATGGAATGTCTAATAGGTTTTCATTAATAAGTTATTTAAGGGTTACAAGATTTCATCAATGTTTTTTTTTCCCCCCCAAAGTTCTAGCATGACACACCTCCACAATATTGGCCCTAGTAGGGCTCGAACACTCAACCTCCCCTATGGGGAGGAGAAATCATACCATCCGGGTTAATGCCGATTGGCTGCATGTAATTATTTTGACTATTGATACCTTTGAAAGATTTGAGGAAGATTTTACTTAACTAGTATTCTATTATGTGCACACACTCAACCTCCCCTTTGGTGGAGGAGCAATTGTTGAGTTGTCGTCATGTGTCTAGAGAGATGTGGTGTTTCTTAATAGAACTATTTCGAGTGTCTTGGGCCTTCTCGTATACTATGATAGATTTATCTTTTAGTTGGAGATATTATAGAGTGATTAGGAGGAAGAAGAAGGTTTGGAACACAACTCCTTTGTAATTGATGTGAGCCGTGTTCGGCTGCATGGAAATAGAGCCTTGGAATTGGAATTGGTAGAATTGGAAAAAATTTTAGTTCAATTTTCTGAGTTGTTTTTCTCCAATTCTACCAATTCCAATTCAAAGGCTCCAATTCCATGCAGTCAAACATAGCCATAGAGTATTTGGGAGAAGAGAATTGGCGAAAGGAAGTCCAAATTTTAGCTTAAAATGTTTACGGATAATCTTTTTGCTAGGAATTAGTACTACAGAAAAACTAGAACCTTTGAGGAAGTTCAAAGTAAGCATTACAAAAAGTTATACAACGCCTAAGCAGTAAACATATGAGCATGAGCTATAATTGGCGAAAGTAAGCATTACACTATAGGATTACAATGCTATAGTGTTTCATATAATTAATTTTTTAATTTTTAATTTTTTTTTCTGTGCTGCAATGTAACTAAAAAGGGGAAGTATCGATTATCGTCCTTCCGTTAGGCTTGGCTTGATGATTGGCCCTTGACTGTGGAGATGAGCGAAGCCACAGCCTCTCCTACTGTCAAGAAAAGGCTATCTGGTTTCATTAAATCGTGTGATTCATCTGCTCGCTGCAACTTTTCCATCACCTCACCAAGTGGATTCACCAGCACAAGCTGTGATGTCAAGCAAATAGTTTGAAGTATTAGACTAGTAGCAAATAGAAAAACAAAGGAGAGAGACAGAGTGATTAAAATGAGAGTTTGTTGTGTGCTTGCCTCAATACTCTTCTTTTCTAATGCTCTCCTCAAATCTTTGAATAAAGCAACTCCACTTGTGTCAATGGCACTCACAGCTGAAAAGTATGCATACAAGGCATTTTAAATGTGATCGGTTTAGAGTTCACATGGTGCATTGCATATGATATATATATACATATGTGTGTATATATATATATATATACGAACTCTAAAAATTCTGTCATTGGTTTCCAAGAAAATGGAGGAAATAGAAAGAAAATGTGAAGCTTCAGATGATAAGTTTTTTAGGACATCAAATTAGGGTTCACATGGTGCATTGCATATTGTTGAAGGATTTATATATTAAAACTACACCCTCTCTAATAGCTTAGGCTTTTAAAGTACATGGTAGTTAACATGGTATCAGAGCAGGCAAGTCTTGTATTCAAACCTTACCGTCACCCTGATAATTAAAATTGAAACACTTGTTGGACGAAAAGAATGCCACACGCAAGGGGGGAGTGTGTATGATTTGGTGGAAAACTCGAAATTTACTTCTAATATCTATACTAAAACAGTAAAATTTTGTCATTGGTTTCAAAGAAAATGGAGGAAATAGAAAGAAAATGTGAAGCTTGACTTAATAAGTTTTTCTAGTTACATCAAATGGTTTCTATTTCCCTTTGTTTTGTAGGCCAACTGCTGCAACTTTATACACCAGAACTACATATCATGCTTAAAATGAACTTACCAGCCAAATCTAGGATCAAAAATTGAAGGCTTGAGCACTTCTTGTTTTCAATTCCTTCCTCTGCTTCATAATCTGCTATCCATCTCATAATTCTTCAAAGAAGTGCCAGGTAAATAGGAGGATCAGAACTATGGAAGTATAACCTTTTTTCTCTTTCTGTTTTCCGAACTGTATGGAAGTATAAGCTAGACAAGAATTGTTACTAGCTATTAATTGAATAAGCTGCTAACCTTTCGTTCAGGTAAGTGGTGTTGGCAAAGTTGATTGGAGCTTCAATGCCTAGAATGAGGAATCCTGGGACTCTAACAGCTTCCTTGTAATGGTGAAGATTGCGATATATATCCGTACCAGGAAGATGTCCCAACATCACTATTTTCGGCCTAGTAATTTGCAGGAGGACCCTAAAAATGGAAATCCCTACCTGGATCAACATAATCACCACCGTCATTAATTTCATTTTTGGACATGAAAGCTTAGACTAACAAGTTTGAGGATACTAGTTCAAGTTTGAGATCAAAATAAGGTAAAAAAATTAGGTCTATATATACGTTAAATATTCTATATAGCATAGGATGAATAATTGAGAACTTACAGCAATGGCTAGGCCCTCCTGGACAGAGATGAAAATGACACCCAAGAAAGCACATAGCATCACAAGGAAATCGAATTTATCGATCTTCCAAATGTGACGAGCAGCAGGGATGTCAATGAGGCCAACAACTGCTGTGACTATGATCGCGCCCAATACAACGTTTGGTGTGTATTGGAAGAGTGGCATGAGAAATAGGAGTGTGACCATCACAGTTACTGCCATTATTATGTTAGAGACTGCAGTTTTGGCGCCTGCATTGTGATTCACAGCTGACCTAGAGAAAGCACCTGAAATCCAAGAAGCTCCATTTTAGGGACATTTGGTTTAGATTTGCATATGTTGTGACTGACTAGTAAACATTTGGGACAAGTAGGGTTTGTAGGGAATGACTCAAATGGGGGTAGTAGATGTGAACCTGTTGTAACATAGCAGGAAGTGGAGGAGCCAACAATGTTCATGACCCCAATTGCAATCATCTCTTTGTTTCCATCCACTTGGTAGTTCTTTAGAGCAGCAAAAGTCCTTCCCACAGCAATGCCTTCCTGTTTGGATTACACAATATTCAATTTAATTTACAAAAATTTTCTTTTCCTTGCTTGATTAGGTGATGAATTTTTAGTATCAACCTTGTTATACATGTAATTAGTAGAAGTCTACTCATGTCGATGGTGCACTTTCTCTCCGTGAGTACCCTTGCAGCCGTTGGATTGAGTGACTTTTTTTTCTTTTCCTTTTCTGAACGATTGAGAGACTAGTTTTTAATAAGAGTCTAAAAAGGAATCTCTCAATCCAACGGTTGCAGGGATGCTCACGGTGAGACCATCCCCTAGATAGTATTTTCCTACCAGTAATTGCTTCTCACAAGCTTTTTGGATGCAAGGCCCGTGACTTAAATCTTCTCCGGTACAAAATATTCCGTAACTTGTATTATCATACAATGCAAATTCAACGGCACAAAAGCATCACATCACCATTTATCAAAATGACATCGTTCATACTTTGAATTTCATTGCTACACTGATCAAACTTCAAAGTAAATGCCGTGAAGTGGGCCACGTCACCCACTAATCAAAACCGCATCCATTTTATATTTTGAATTTTTCAAAATAAATGTAGTGATATGAAGTGTGTGCCTGCAGAGTACTGCGGGAGGGAATTACTAGAATTTTGACACAAGGTATATGTACATTTATATATATATATATATATATATATATATATATATAGTGACGGATTCAAAAAATTTTGTGAGGCGGTGACTTTTTAATTTGTGGGTATAAAATTATATGATGGATTCATTTTTGTAATTTTAATAGAGTTTTTTTTTTTCATAAATTTTAAAAAATTTAAAGTATAAAATGAAAAAAAAAAAAAAAATCAGTGGGGCAAATTATAATTCTGACAGGGATATCTTCATAAATTATCGAATTTTGAAATATAAAATGCTAAAAAAAAATCTAATGGGGGCGAATTGTAATTTTAGGAGAATATTTTCATAAATTTTTAAAAAATTAGAGTATAAAATATAAATATTAAAAATCCAGGGGGCATCCTCCCCCGGTTCCATGCTGGATCCGTCGCTATATATATATATATATATATATATTCTTTTGAAGAAGAATAAGAACTTACAGTAAGAGAAATGATGCCAGTTACAAGCCCAGTTTTCATTACTAGTCCCAAGTAACTTCCATGAAGATGCAACATGTTCCATGAAGGAGGGTTTAATCCTTCTTGTAAATTCCCAATCTAAGAATTGAAGATATATATATATATATATATATATAGAGAGAGAGAGAGAGAGACAGTAAGAAAATGTCAGGACAAGAGAAGTGCAAGAAGATGAAACTCAGAAAGAGATGTTGGGTGGGTCCCAGAAAACATACCACACTGATGCCATGATGTTGAGCTTTGAATGCAAAAACCAACAGTGTGGAGAGGATGACTGATACAAGGGGGGCTCCAGCTGACACCCAGAATAGCTTTGGTTTCCTCATGCTCTGCATTGCACACATCCCAATATGGATCATCATATCTCATTATCTGTCAGATAGTCACTATTTTTACTGTGTGCCTGTTTATTCTTTCAATATTGAAAATGATATTTAGGGTATGTTTGTTTCAAATTATTATTATTATTATTATTTTTAAAACTATTTTTTTAAAATTCAATTAAAAAAAGCAACACTCAACACAGCAGATACGAAGTCTGTGGGGGTCCAAAATGTGTGAGTGGTGGGGCTCATATGCTGTGTGTTTACTTTAGTTTGACTTTTGGCTTGAGTGCACACAGTGTATAACGGATGGGATGCTTTGCGATTTGGCTATCTAGATTTGATGTGTGACAATATCTTCCTTATAATATTTTTATTTCCCGAAACTTGCAACTCGCAACGTATTCGTTACGATCAGATTACCCTGCCTACTCGAGATGATAACACTCAATTTATATATACGCATTTACTTTTACATTTGGATCTAATATGGAATAAATTCTCTTTGTAACACAATGTCTCTTCGGAGGACTTAAACCGTCAACCTTCTCTTTTCTTCTGAATCGGTTACAGCCTACACAACCTTTGGTATCTTATTAGAGAATTTAAATACTGTAATTTAAACCAGAGTGGGCTTGATGGGTCATGTTCATGTTGGCCCACAAATTGAGGCCTAAATTGGCTCAATTATAAACACAAAAAGATCCAAGCACAAAATCCCATCACAGACATCAGAGACCCAAAAGAGATGGGAATCTTGCCGTGTCAAAGAGAAAAGGTCCGAAAATCAGAGGGTCCAAAATTCGTATTTTATTTTATTTTTTGAGATCAAAATTCGGATTTTTAGTGGTGGGATAAGTACGAAATTAAGAGCCACGAGACATCTGCAGATGACTCGAATCTGAACAAATCTTGAATTAAAGGGTTGTTTGGCGGTAATCGTCGCATTCTTAATGGTTTAGTTAACATTTTCTTAGAAAAATAGGAAGAGTACAAACAATAATCATAAATAACAAATGACAGTCATGAATTAATTAAAAACTTACAATATATCTTGTCACAAGGAGGAAAACTAGGAAGCAACAGCCCATTAATATAGTTTGCCAAGACCACTGCAAAAAAAATTCCACATAAAATATATTACTACTATAATAATGCATGATTTAGAAAACACACACACACATATATATATAGGGAACAATATATAATAAATAGTCTATGTGCTATTGGAATAAACTATCAACATCAGATCTGAAAGTGAAGACATGACAGAGATTCAATTCTGGTCCTTCTCAATAAAACAGAATATAGGTCTATACTCCATGTGCATTTTGTACATAACTCTACTTTTCACTAATTGTCTTTTACTTAATTTTTTAGAAAGTATACTTAAAATTATTGATTTTGAATATGTTTTGAAGGCTAATTATATTGTTTTATATTATTTAAAAAATAAGAGTGCAATTAGCAAAAAATGGAGTGCAAATATAATCATCCAATCCAAATTGGTAAGAAATTTATAAGTTTAATTATGTGTGTGTTAATATTATCCAAATTGGTAAGAAATTTATATGTTTAATTGTGTGTGTTAATATTATCCAAATTGGTTGAAAACATAAATTTACAAAAGTATTTAATTCTTTTTACCTCATGTATATTAGTAAAGTAAAAAAATTGTTTTTTTTTTGTTACATGAGCATGAGTTATCCAATAAATTATTGTCTAGTGTAACCATAAAAGTTTAGTAGGAGGAAGTATATTTTTTAGACAAAGTAATTAATTGGTTCTTTGTAAGGTAATGGCCTTATATAATATATGAGCTAGCATGAGTTATTGAGCATCACCAACATGTGAAGTCAAATCAACCATGGGTCAATTAATACAATAACACAAATATATACAAAATCTATTACTTGTATGTCTACTAATATATATATATATATATATATATCACCAACATGTGAAGTCATCTCAACCATGGGTCAATTAATACAATAACACAAATATATACAATATATATATATATATATATATATATATATATATATATGTAAGTGGAACTAATTACCTCATTTATGTTATGGAAGACTGAACTGAGAACAGGTACCAAACCCATTTGTTTGGTGAAATGAGTGATGCCAAGGAGGCTCTTAAGCTGCTGAAGAGAAACTATAATAGCAGCTCCAGCCATGAATCCAATCAGAGTAGCTCTTGAAAGAAAATCAATAATAAACCCAAGTCTGCAAACACCACCATCAAATGTTATCAAAAGGCTTTAACTTATTTTTTATTATTTTATTCATAAACATATATATATATATACTACCAAATATATATAACAAATAATCAATTCATCCACTACTCACTTTAAACTGACACATCGTACCAGGACTCACTTTTGGTGAGACTCGAGGCCTTACCACCCAAGTTGCTCGTACAAACTATACATATATATATATATATTACCAAATATATATAACAAATAATCAATCTATCCACTAGTCACTTTGGACTAACACACATATATCAAGCCTCACTTTTGGTGAGACTCGAGGCCTTACCAGCCAAGTTGCTCGGACTATATAGATATATATATATATATATAGCCATGAAGACAAATTAAGTTGTGGAAGAGGAAAATGGGATAACCTTAGAAATCCTAAAGAAGCCTGAAAGAGACCAGCAAAGAAGGTTGAAGAGAAGGCCAGTTGAAGAAACAAGATGGGGTCTTTTGCAGGTGACACTTGTTGCCTAAGCATTGATCCCAAGATAAGAGAAGCAATTGAAACAGGACCTACTGCAAGATCTCTTGAGCTTCCAAGCACAGCATACACAAGTGGAGGAACAAAGCTTGAATCTGCATATACATATATATATATATATATATATATATAAAGTGAGCCAAAGTACTCCATCAAACAAACAGTACCCTTAAGTTGTTTCATGCATGTATGTAGTCTAGGAGTATACACACACACACACACACACACACACACACCCCACAACATAAAGAAAGTACTTACATAGACCAACAATGGGAGGCAGATTAGCAAGCTTAGCATAACTGATTCCCTGAAAGGAATTGAAAAGAAACGAGTATTAATTAAAGGCATAAAAAATAAGATGATATAAAAATGGAAAATTAAAAACGAAATTAATTAATTACCTGAGGAATGGCTAAGCTAGCAATGGTGAGGCCAGAAACAATGTCAGATTTGAAGAGCTTGAGACTGTAAGTGGGACCCCATTGGAGAATAGGGAAGATGTATTGAGCACCAAGAATCCATTTCTTCTTCAATGGCTGTCCTTTGAATTGCCTCAAAGGATCGTCAGGGAAGAAGGTCTCTTTGAGCCTGTTCTTGAGCTTCTGCATGGTGCTCCTATGGGGTGGTGGGACCACCTTGTGAACCTCCATGCCTCCTATCTCAACACAATGAGACTGCAACGTCCTCACATTGGGTTCCATTTTTGGAGCCACAAACACTCTCTGCTTCTTCTTCTTCTATCTGGTGAATATGGTTTTGGTACTATTGCTATATATTACTCATCTTGAACCAACCCCACCATCAATCAACTTTAAATGAGACCACTAGTCAACAAACTAGTACTCTTGTCCACTGCAGAAACAAACACACACACACACTTTTTTTTTTTTTTTTAAATCAGTACTTTTATGATAAATGAGAGAGAGACAGTTAGGGACTTATATTGGTGAACCTACCTTTTTCTTTTCTTTTTTTTTTTTTTGGGACACTTTTCACTAAGACAAATCTGACATGTTTATCTATAATTAATAACACTTGAAGAAGGTAAAAATACCAAAGGCCAGAGAAGAAAAGGTAGGAGAGCTTATATATATATACACACACACACTTGAGAATTAAGCAGTTAAGTCTCTGGGTGCATATAGCAGTGTGCCATGGAAATGGCAATCTCTAGTACATCTGTACAGATATATATATATATATATATATATATGTATCTATATATGGATAACTTATATATATATATATATATATATACATATGGAATATTTAAGGAATATTCGTTGTCTTCTTCATTGATAGATGGTGCACTTCTCTAAGCTGGTTATGAATTTGATGAAGGATGGTTGGAGAAGTGTTAAATTTAGGTCAGAGGGAGTGAGAAGGCCATTGTGTATATAAATGGATAGTGACATACGTACCCACCGACACAACCAACCGACTTTGTTTGTGCATCTGAGGGCAGTAGATAGAGTCGATCCTCTGATCAAGTCGGTCGGTTGTTTGTACTGGTTGAATGCTACACTGCCACCATTGATTTTTAGTACCGAGTTTAACAACAGCGCACTGTTAATCACAGCCTGTCATGTGTTTATCTCAATGATTGTTACTACACTATTAACATTGTCAGAGCTGTCAATCACACTCCATCGTTGTGTTTATCTCAATGATTGTTACTAGGCTATATATATTGTCAGAAGTGTGTGGAGTCCACCATTTCATACGATCCCATCTCTACGTGGATGTCTCATCACAATAGTTACTAACAAAAATTGATTGACAATTCTTTTGAAAAAAAGGAAAAAAAATGGATTGATAAATATATATGTACATAGTTTTTTTTTTTAAAGACAATCACTGAACTTAAATAGAAAAATGTTGGGTAATCGCGGACTACACTAGGTCAGTCATTGAATCTGTGTAAACGCACATCATTCAAAATTGAGCTTGCATCATTGGAAATCTGAAAAATAATATTAAAGGTTAAATTTTATTTACTAGTGGGGACAAATTTTTTCTGGTGTATATATATATAAAGTTAAATCCAAAAAGGTTACTTTTATATATATATATTATATAGTGATGTAAATGATCAAAAAGCGCAGTTCATCTTATCCATAGGTATCTGCATCGGATTATTAAAAACAATATCTCAAGTAAAAGATTTTGAGTGTCAAATATACCGTTCTTTTTTTTGGATATAAAGCAAATAATATCAAGTATAATAAATATTGATATCATTTCTAAAGACTAAAGCTATACTTATATATCTTACCTTTTGTTAGTACCTTCCATGAAAATCTCTTGCTAATTCTGCCTAATTCACTTCTGGACAAGCCGGAGTTAGAAAATCTAGTCTAGTAAGTGTTTTCACATGTCATTATTGAGTTGATGGGCTTATTGCTAGTAAGAAGATATGACGACCAAGACAAACTTATTGCCACGTTGTAAGAGACACTTACATGACTTACCCTTCTTATTCTTACTACCTCTGTCCTAAAGTAGATGTCCTGTTTTGAGACAGATAAGGTATTTTTTATTTTTTACTTTGGCAAGATATCACGCCACCAATTCAATCGCTCTTATGTCCTGTAATCTGTATTAAGTATTTTTACTAAGAACAATTTTTTTATTTTGTTTTTATCAAATGGAATGAAAAGTAACATGAAGAATGTTATTGGCTTAAATCCACTCAAGCATAAGCTTGCTTATCCCCAGCAGAGTCGTCAGCTATCACACCTAGATTTTTTCGTAGAACCCACTCAAGCTAATCCCCCATATGGAGGCCAGCTGTCGTGCCAAGGAAAGAAATCATAAACCTAATTTTGAGACGGAGGTAGCTACGGCCTTGGATTTTGGAAAGGTGCGGTAGGGCCAAACGTGATACCCCTCGACTCCGAGACATGGTTAATCAAGTCCAAGCCCAAACCTGAGGAAATACTAAACAATTAATATGTAAACAAGCAGGATTACCAAAAGATTTAAGAAATAAATAATAGAGCTGAAAGAATTATTAAATATGAAATCTCAAACGTTAAAGATTAATATAATCCAACCTTTCCAAAACCTCCAAGAGTACAACTCGGGAATCCATCTAGTAGACCCCTAAATAAAATCCCAACTGAAGATAAAAATCAAAATCTAAAACATGGAATGAAATCCTACGTTGTCGGTAGGGGGAATGACCGTCTCTGCTTAGCCCGAACAAACCTTAAGACTGGAACCGTTTGATACCTGAAAAAATGATAGTGGGTCAGGCCCACGAATAAGTTTTATTCTAACTACAATCCAAACAGAGACCCGATACGCAGATACATCCTAGATATCTCAACAATATTTATCTAGTCCATACATAAATATATATCCACACTAAGGGACTCTCACTAGACTACAAAAGGGTCTCAACCTGAATAGAAGACAACATGCAAAATGCACCAGAGGTGGGCATGAGTACCTAGACCTAATAGGGTACACCTCAACCGTCATAGCCAGCTATGCATCCCAATGCATATACGCTCTCTAACCAAAGATCTTGTGACTCAAACTCATATCGTGGTACCATAGTTATATATTTAAAGTCCGTCCAAAACTAGAGTATGTCATTCAATTGTTCATTGATCTGACATAAGAATTCTAATCCTGTTAGTCACTTAACTTATTCAGTTGATCTGACTTAACCACAAATATCAATTAATCCAGGTAGTCACTCAACTTACTCAGTTGATCTGACTTAAATATAAGTAGGATTCAATTTTTACAATCCGTTCCCTTATTCCAATAAGGTAGGCCTTAGCGTTTTGAGCTAAACCATCCCTAGTATGCCACTGTTCCATACCGGTGCATACAATCCATAACATCTATATAATTGACAAAATTTAATATAATAATTTAGCAATTAAAGTCCAACACATAAATCCATGTAATTGACAGAACATAGTTTAATAGTTCAGCAACTAGTAACTAAAATAATAATCCATGTAATTACAGAACAGAGTTTATTATTTCAGCAATTAGAATCCAGAGTAAGCATAGATCAAGTCTGATAAATAAATGACCCTATCGTGTATCCAAAACAAGATTTATAATCATGTTATATTCCGTTAAATTGCTAAAATCAAATTAAGCACTTAAATTCCTTCTATCCGTTAACAGCATGCAAAGTTGTATACTTTCCTACTGTTCCATCAATTAGCGTAAAGGTATAAATTATGCCATAAGAGGTTTTAATATTCCATGAAACTATGATTTAGAACCTCCAGTATACTCCCTAAACAGTTCAGAATACTTAAATCGTCCAAACAACGCCCAAAGAAAAACCCAGAATGCCTTAATATAAGAAAGACTACTCTCAAAACTTGAGAGCAGGCTTTAACAAGCATGGAGTCGGCTCCATGCCCCTTGAAGCCGGCTCTAGAGGGGTGGTAGTCAGCTCTCAATCCCCCAGAGTTGGCTCTTCACTTGAGGGAGCCGGCTCCCTTTTCCATGGAGTAGCTCTCTCCCTCTCTGAGAGCCCTGAATCGTTTCTTGCCTTTTGCTTCATCTCCGGCCACTTCTAACCTCTCTGTTCTTTATTAATACTAAACCTAAGAGTCTAAATTATATCCAGTATCATCCTAGTCATTTATTTAAAACAATTTGCATAAAAAAAATCAATAAAAAGAAATACCGATTTAACATGCTTTAAGATCAAACAATGAAATCCAAGTTCGGCGATTACCATTCCAGATCAAATTAAACCCATACAGATGATTAATTTAACATATACTAAGCATGCAAGATCCATTTAATATCTGATTTAAATTCTAGAGATCATTTAGGCATGCACAGAACACAGGACAAGGGGAGAGAGAGTAAGAATAAAACTTGCCTGTGAGATTTTGAAACAAAACCTCGTCGCCATCTTCCTAAGTTTTTCGATGACGTCCGTGCACTGTCAACCTCCTACTACTCAACCTTCCCTCCTCCTAAGTCTGTCCTTTAATCCAAAGCCGAAACCCTAACTGAAATCTCTCTGTTTTCTCACAATTCTCTCTCTGTTTCTCTCTATATCTCTGTAAGTGAATAGGGTTCTACAACCTTTTTGCAGACTTATAACAGTATATTTATAGGCAAATATAAAACCTAAGTCCACTTATAATTAGAGACGGAAAACCCTAATTAAATCCTAGTCGGTCACAACGTAATTTCATAAAAGAATAAAACCCTAATCTATACACTACGTTAAGCATAAATGTAAATAAATCAAATAAATTAAATAAACAATAAAATAAAATAATTTACCAATTAATTCAATTAAATAACCCATTAACCAAATAATGCAATTAAATACACAATTAAATAATTAAATCAAATAAATAATAAAACAATTAAACAAGTAAGCAAATAAGTAAAGAATCAAACAAAAATGCAATAAAACAATAATTAAAATGCCGAGACTATCCTTTTAAAATAAAGGGTATTACACCAAAGGGGTGAGATTTTTGGAGTCATCATCTAACATTGAGTTTTGGTGTGTTAGGTTAGCTATGATGAGAAATTGAATAATATAGGGTCCGGATGACTACCGTTTGGTCTACTTAAGATTGGATTCAGTAGTTTGATTACGCTTGGGGAAGGGGCGAACCTCTTTGTGGTGGCAACTAGCATTGGTAATTGGTTAATAGTCCGGTATATCTCATTGTTACTCATCTAGACCTCTCTTATGTCGTTCATATAGTTAATCAGTTTATTGCAGCACCAAGAGCCACTCATTATGTTGTAGTTAATCTTCACATTCTTCACTATCTCAAGTGCACTATATTTCATGAACTTAATTTCTCTTCCCAATCATCACTTATATTCCAAGCTTATATTGA